TAATATTTGTAAAGTGCTTTACAAACCTTAAAGCACTATATAAATGCTATTATTATCTAGGCACAGAAACGAAAATGAAGCTGCCTCTGCCCTCCAAGAATTTACAGTCTATTGGGGAGCCAACATGTACATCTGATGCTCATGACCTGTGTGACTGTAAGTAATTCCCTCAACTTCTTGTGGCCTCAGTTTCCCTATCTGTAAAATGATGCAATTGCCTCCAAGGTCCCTTTGAACTCTGGCTCTGTAATCCTATTATAATAGGCATTTGGTATGTTCCTTGACCACTTAAGATTGCATTGGCCAAGTGGAAGATGTTAGGAGAAGCTTTGGGGAGACCAGAGGGCTGAAGCACGCACAGACACTCTTTGTTGGCCTACCATGGGGGTGGGAGCAGCTTTTCTTTCTATTGGCTGCACACTGGGAACTGTCCAAATCCATAATAGAACCTGATTCTGTGTTTGAGAGTGAAAGCGACTAAGTGAGACGCTGTGGGACTAGCGAAGGCTACCTCCTCCCTCCTCTCCCTTAGGCTCCCCCACATGACCCCAAGAAACAGGCTCTTTGCCCTCCTGTTCATTCTTTTCCCTTCTGGAGACTGTCAGGAGCCAGGAAGTCAGGCTGGGCTGCCTGCAACACCCAGGCAGGCAGCCATGCCTCAAAGCCCTAAAGAGCAAAGGTCTCAGGAAGATGGCAGCCCAGGAGGGCTGCGCACTTGAACTTGGTGGTACTAATGTCATAAGGGACCTGAGCTAAGCTATGAACCTTGTCTCTTTCCCCTCCTCAGGGACTGAATTGTTATGTGGAGGGAGAGGGAAGAATCATGCCCCTTTGGTGTGGGGGAAATGTTGCTATGTTTGTTCTTGCCATATCTTTGAAGAAAATATCCCCAATGCAAAGTAGTTAAATGGAACTAGGGTGCTAGTTACTGGGCCCCTAAAATGACAGAGTGGGGCCAAAGTCGCCCATATTCCACCATGTGCCTGTGTATCTAACTCTATGCAAAAGAGAAACAACAAGGTCATTGGCGGGGGAAGATGCTAACTGGCATCTGGAGGGATTGGACTTTGTGCCCAAGATGGTGCTTGGGCTGAGTCTCAAAGAGAAGCTAGGAAGGTGAGGACTTGGGGCCAAGTCTCCCCTCTGATATACTCTGCCTGTGACTTCTCCCTAAGACACTAAATTCCAGGTGAGCAGAGAGGGCTTCCCCACCTGCCTCTCCCTCCCTGAGGAAATCATGGATCTGAACAAACCAAAAATGATGTGCCCCTGAGCCCCAGGGTGACAGGTCTTAGCTTACCACTGTCTCTCTCCCAAGTAGTCCTCCATCTCTGGCTGGCTGGTGTCCACACAGAATCACCAAGGGTCCTGCAGCGCATCCTGTATCCCGTCATACCAGCCTTCACCAAAAGCCAGTGGAGGGGGAAAGGAAAGCACTGGCCCTGAAAGCAGACCTGAGTTCAAATCTCACTTCTGGCACTCCTTGGCTATGTGATCATGGACAAGTCATTCAGCCCTTTGAGCTTCAGTTCCCAAAGCTGTAAAATGGGGATAATAATTCCTATAGTGCCTGCCTCACAGAGTTGTTAGGAGACTCAGATAAGATCATGTCTGCAAAGGAGTTTGCCAGCCCGAAAACCTATAGAAGCCTCCGCTCTAAGTATAATCTGGGAGGCTAGAATGAGGGAAGGCAGGACCCAGGACTGGAACAGAGATAGCAAGCTGGAAGACTTCCTGGGAAAGAATCATGCCCCCTCCAAAATGGTGACAGCCTTGAACAAAGTCCCAGTCACCCTACCCTAGTTACAGGAGGTAAATGCTTTGGCCATCCATGTGACAAATGGATGGGTGGTAGAGTCAGGTATGCTGAGTTGGAAATCTAAGCAGTTTCTTGTACCCCAATTCCAGCCAATCACCTCACAATGATAATAACAATAACAGTTATCATTTATATAGTAGTTTATTATCTCATTGGAGCCTGAACACCCTTGTGAGGTGGGTTCTACAGGTATTATTCCCATTTTACAGATGAGGAAAGTGAGGCTCTGAGAAGGTTCCCCACAGTCACACAGATAGTGAGTGTCCCAAGAGGGTTTTCTACTCTGGTCTCTCCTGACTCTTGTCTGGGACTCTTTCTGCCTCAGAACGTGAGCTGGCCCTCCACACCAGCTCCAGGCATGACTTTATAGCGGGACAGCACCATGGATAGAGGACGAGGCCTGAAGATGGCAGGAAGACCGAGTTCAAATTCTGCCAGAGACACTACCAAATGGGGTATCTACCAAGGTAGATACCTACCTTGGGCAGGTCACTTCACCTCAAGTCAGCCTCACTTTCTCACCTGTAAAACAAGGGGGCTGAGCCTGGGAGCAGTAAAATGTGGGATCCTCTGACCCTCTGACCTCTACAATGTGCCCCCATCAGCCTCTCTCCCAATCTGTGATCTCATTCAAGAGCATGTTGGTGCCAGAAATCAGTGGAAGCAGCCTGGGCACCAACTGCTTCTCAAGGCATCCTCATGTTGGGAGAAGGAGCTCTCTAACTCTTCAACCCAGCTCCCCCATCTCTCTCATCCCCGTGGGATTTTCTGTGTGGAAATTAGTCCTGACCTCTTGGTGCTCCTTCCTCCCTCCCTTCCTTCCTTCTTTTTTCTTTCCTTCTTTCTTCCTCCCTCCCTTCCTTTTATTCTTTTTTTTCTTTCCTTTTTTTGGCTTTCTTTGTAGCCACAGCCCTTAGCCCAATGCCTAGCACATAGGAAGTACTTAATAAATGCGTGTTGACTGACTAATAAAAAAGAAGGATACTTGGGTGAAAAATCAATAAAAAATAAGAGAAGGGAGCAGAGGAAAGTAAGGGAGAGGGAGTCAAGGGGAAGGGAGAGAAAGAAGAAAGTGGGGAAAGGAAGAGATAAAAGGCAGGCCTGAGACTCTCATGACACGTGAGTCACTCTCATAAGTGACTCTGGCTTCTTTCATTCATTTGATTTCCAACCCCCATCCAGGAACCTGAGACAATTACACCCTCACCCTCACCCTCACCCTCCCCAGCTCCCCAGCTGCAAACATGTGGTTCGTGATATTACAGAGGAAAGCTTTATTAAAAGAAGGAGGAAACAGCACAGGTCCTCCCCTGGCTAAGCAACCATCACTTAAGTAATAATTCTCGAGTCTGTGATTTCACCATTATGAGTATTCTCCAAACCAAAGTCAGTCACAATCTCTCCATAACTTAGCAGATGGTCTTTGAGAGTTCCTGTGGCCAAAAAAATGCATCCCCTTTACCAATGAAATCATAAGTCTGGTCCAAAAGGGAAGGAGGAGAAAGGGAAAAGAGGGGAAGGGGGGAAGGAAGGAAGGAAGGAAGGAAGGAAGGAAGGAAGGAAGGAAGGAAGGAAGGAAGGAAGGAAGGAAGGAAGGAAGGAAGGAAGGAAGGAAGGAAGGAAGGAAGGAAAGAAGGAAGAAAGGAAGGAGGGAGGGAGGAAGGAAGGAAGGAAGGAAGAAAGGAAGGAGGGAGGGAGGAAGGGAAGAAAGAAGGAGAAAAGGAGATGGAGAGAGGGGAGAAAGAGAAAGGTAAGAGTAAGGATAGTGAGAGTGAGGAAAAACAAAAAGAAGAAGAAAGTTGAATGAAAAAAGGAGGTGAGAAAGAATCAGAGCCAGGGGAATGGGCCTGTACCTAATCTGCTTCCTTCTCTCATTTACCCTGTTAGTACTTGAACTAGGCAGAGTCATAACTAAGAATGTCTTTCCCTGGGACAGTTGTTGGGAGTGGGGGACTACCAGTGTAGAATGCTGCATACACTACCAGCAGCAGCCACTTTATGGACTTGTTTAGCTTGGCTGACTTGCTTTGTTACAAGGAATTCTTCAAGTGGGGACCAGGGGTGGGATTATGCTTAGAAATGACTGTGATGTCAAAACAAAAGCTGGAAATGAAACTTTCTTCAGGTTCAGTACAGATCAGGCAGCCTTCTTGTAAACCTCAGCCTGTCATGTCTGGTCTTCAAGGCCTAGGAGGGAGGTGCTTCTCTGCCTGGAGTCTGAAGGCCACAACCTGCGGTCCAACATCGCCACCTAGTGGGCGTGAAGGCAACCCATCCTCTGGCTGGTCTTCATTATTTTTTTAAGCAATTTTTAAAGGCTTCTTTTTTTCTTTTTTTTTATGTTTTTAAGCAGTTGGGGTTAAGTGACTTGCCCAGGGTCACACAGCTAGTAAGTGTCAAGTCTGCGCCACCTAGCTGCTCCTTTTTCAATCAATTTTTAAAAACCAACCGGTTTTCTTGACACCTCTTGCTTCTTACCCCAGTCATTTCACACACATTACTGCCTCCACTGCAACAAAAAAGGCTAGTTAAGGCCCACCCACCACCCTACAGCCTCTCCAATGCTCCTCTCCCACAGCCTACCACTTCCCCGTTGGTTTCATCGCCCGGGACCAAGACTGGCCAGTGTGCTCTAGCAGAGCCAGGTCGCCTCGTGGGAGGGAGGGTCCTCGGCACCATCTGGTAGTTTGGGGTGGGGTGGGGTTCAGGATATAGAGATGGAAGAGGTGACCTAGGTCTTCCCAGATACCCACCGCTAGCCCTGAGCCACTCCAAGGAATTTCTGCCACTGTGGCACTCAAGAGCATTTGACACTGTTAAGGGCCGATCTTAAGAGTCCAGTTTGGGTTTAAGATCCAGGGCAGAGTTTGACCTCTTCCCAGGCTTTTACCAGAAAGGCTTCAATGATTAAGAGGTATGGCTGTCCAATCCCTTCCTGATTAGGAGGTTTGAACTTTAGATTTACACATTCACTCCTCTATGCAGGTGGCACCAAGGCGCCTGGGAAAACCTTGGAAAATACAACCCAATCTAGGAACCCTGATAACGAGGAAATGTATGTTGCCACATCCTCAGCAGATGTTTTGGGGAGTATCTCCCAGGGAGGACTCTTTGAAGTTAGGCTAGATTTTCTCTATATATCCTGTACCCTCAGATGAATAAACTGAGTCAGTTCTGTTGCTCCGCCTGGCCCATGTCTCAAGTTTATTTCACGCCTCTCCGTTCAGTGTACAATCTGGTTGCAGGCAACATGACACAAAGAACTAGCTGCCCTCTCAGACATCTTCAAAGAAGGAGCCACAGCCATGAGGAAGTGAGGCCTATTTTATCATTTATGACTGTCCCTCTTTCCAGCAAAATAGCCCATCTCCTTTTGGGTTTTGGTTTGGGATATTTTGTTTTGTTTCATTTTTTTGGCCAAGCTAGGTCCTAGTAAGAAGACTACATATTTGGTGGGGAGAGGTCAAGAGCAGAAGACATCAGGAGTGAGAAAGTCTGGGTATGGGCCCCAGTTCTGATCTTCATTCATTTTGTGACATTGGATAATACACTTTCTCTCTCACTGGACCTTGGTCTTCTCACTGGTAAGGTGGAATCAGTCAAATAGGGTCAGATTTAAAACCAGAAGGGACCCCACGGTCATCTAGTGCAATGTTCCCATTTTTACAATGTGGAAACTGAGGCCCAGAGTAAGTGACTTCCCCAAGGAAGTCCCTCCCAACTCTGAGTCTTCTGAACTATGGGTCAATTCTGTTCAACGATCTTTAAGTGGATCTTTATCCACTTCAGAGACTGCCTTTGAATGTGACAGCCCCCAAAACTGCCTGACCACATGTGTCCTGGAATGGGTCTGAAGCTTTGCTGCCAGCTTGAGCTGCCTTCTTTCAAGAACAGAGACACCCTTCGGGGGACATAGGACCCAGAACAAGTTGGTCTGAACTCTCTCCCAGCCACCCCATTTGGGAAGGGATGTGAAAAGGATCCTGGAGGTCAGTCCAAAAGGAGAAGTCATGAAAGGGGTGGAGAACAGCCAGCATTGAGGGTTAAAGATTTAAGGGTGATGGAGGGAGCAGGCAGAAATAGGGCAGGAACTGTGTACAGGAGAGAAGGACAGCTCAGTCTGCTTTGTCTTGGTGATAACAGTCATGAGAGCCAAGGATAAGGGGAGTTCTTGACCTTTTCTGTCTCCCTTGAGAATGCCCTTGGGCATTCTAGTGAAGGTTGCTCGAATAAGACACTTAAATGCACTTAAATACAGTTATCAAAATATAGCCTGCCACATGTCAGATGCCAAGATGACCAAAACACAACTCTGTCAATCTACAAGCATATATTAACATCTTATGTGTGCCAGGCACTGTCCTAAGGACACATGTTACAAAGTCAAAAGGGGAACAGGAGGGGAGGGGAACTATACATGAACACTGCCCATGCGACATGGATGAGAGAGCTGCAGATGAGGCTGTCCGAGGGGAGAGGAGCTGTTTCCAGCAGCAGGAGATAAGGGCAGGAAATGATACATTTGAGCTGCCTATTGAAAGGCGGCTGGGAACAGAAAGGGAAGCAGGTGAACTGATGTCTAGCCTAGGAAATCTCATGAGCAGAGCTCAAAGGTGGGTAGAATCAGCACACTGAGGCCAGTTCAGATGTAGCCTGGAGGGCTCCTGAGGGAAGGTGCTATGAGGGGTCCAAAGGAGTCAATCACAACCAGACTGGGAAGTTCCTCAAACGCTGAGCTGAGTTCAGACATTACTTGGGGGCAATGTGGAGCCCCTAATGGACTCTGTCATGAAGTGATGCTATCACCGTGGGATCAGAGAAGACAAAGAAGAAATCTGTAGCTCTTGGGCCAAAGCTGAACAATGTCCTCAGGAGGCTACAGGTCCTTTTGCCCATTATCCCTAAAAAATGACAGGCCTGTCGCTTGGAGCAGAGGAGGCTGCCAGGGAACCATGAGCATCCCAGTCAAGCCATCTCGTGCATCACAGCCAGCGTCTCCAATACCGTTATTCCTCTGGTCATTCTAGGCAACCAGTTCTTATTCACACTTTTTCATTGCAACTGCACGCAAAGGCGGCCCTGCTCTGAGGCCCTAGGAAGAGAGGGCTGGCTCTTCCCGAGCATCCATTCATCTTCAGAGGCAACTCCTGTCTTTCTTGCCTGGTTTTGTTCTCCCCATTGAGCACAGAAGTGGCCCTATTACCGGGCCCTTGGAACAGGACCCTTCCCGGGCCCTCATCTCTCTCTGCCTCTGGAGAGGAAGGAGAGGTGAAGAGGCTTGCAACGCCTGAGCTAGAGGGTTTCAGCAGGATGCCCAGGGCCTTCTCATAGTACTCAATGGCCAGTGACTCATTTCCTTCCATCTTGGCCGAGAACCCCAGCAGCCTCCAGCCCTGCAGGGTAGGTGGCTTCTGGGATCTCTGCTGGTCTGCTAATTCCTGCAGTCTGGCCTTCATTTTCTCATACTCAGCAGATTTTTCTTGTATTTTCATACCTTCTAAATAATGGTAAATGGCAGTATCTGTCTGGCCCCGGAAATAGTCCTGGAAGTTCCCATAACGCTGGTGGATCTGCTGTTTCTCTTTGGCTGTGAGAGGCTCCATGAGAAGTGCTTTTTGGTAGATGGCTTCCGCCTTCTTGTGGTGGCCTAGCGCTGCATACATGGAGGCGAGGTCTAAGTACATGTTAGGGTAGCAGCCGCTCTTCTCCAGGGCTTTTTCCATATATTCGGCGGCACGGCTGTGCAGCTGCCGCACCTTCTCTCGGGTCCCACGGTCCTGTAGCCCCTCCATTTTGTCTCTGTGAAGGATCTGGCTGGCCAGGGTCCGATAACAACATCCAATCTGGTGGTAGAGTGAACTCGTGGCGGGCTGAAACTCCAAAGCCTTCTCAAACAGGCTGAGGGCTTTTTCCAGGAAACCTTGGCTCCGGTAAAATTTGGCGGCCAGCCGGAAGACCTCTGGTGACTGGGCTTCTTCTAAGGCTTCTTCCACTAACTTTTCTCCCGTGGCATTGTCGTTCATTTTCTGGAGTTTCAAGGCCAGGAGCACCTTGAGGTAATTGTTGTCAGGATCCAGCTCAAGGGTCTGCCTCAGGAGGTCAAGAGGTTGGTGCCTCCATGATCTGCCAACTTCAACCTGACCACAGGTGGCAATGGCCAGGCCCACACGAAGCTCCAGGCAGAGGGGCTCCTTCTCCAGAGCCCTCTCAAAACAGGCCTTGGACCGCTCTGCATAGCGATTGCCACACTTGAGCCTGGCCCAGCCTTCCTCACAGTCCATCTCCGGGCAGTCGATCCTGTATGGGTTTGCAAACTTCCTGCATGTCTGCGCGACCTTGTCCAGGTAGGTGCGGGCCTCCTCCAGCCGGCCCATGTGGTAGTACAGCCAGGCATAGTTGCCCCAGGTGACCAGGTTCCTGACTTCAGCCTGACCAGGGTGCTCCTGCTGGGTCAGCTCTTCGGCTCGCTGGAGGCAGCTCAGGGCTTCCTCGTTGCGACCCTGCAGATGCTTCAGGTAGGCCAGGAGGTTGTGCCCCGACGCTTTGGACTGAGGGCACAGAAACCCAATGCCGTCTACGATCTTCTCCTCCAGGTTCTCGATGTTGCTCTCATCCTTAAATAAATGCCATGTAAAGTGACAGCTCAGCTGCTTCAGGGCTGCTTCCAGTGACTCTCGGGTCACCTCACTGCAGGGGTTGGAAAAAAGCGGGTTAGAGCTCACAGAGAGAGCCGGCAGGCAGCCCTGGCTTGCCAAGCCTCGCCTCCCATTGCCCCCACCCGCTAACTTCTTTTCTAGAATAGTAATAGGAACAAGAATAGTAACAAGAATAGTAATGAAAAACATAAGAATAATAGTAATTAATAAGAATAAGAATAGTCATAAGTAGTGTTTGTAGAGCACTCTGAATACAAGCTCATTCTATTCTCACAGTAAACGCTATTACTAACCTTTTTCCAAATGAAGAAAGTGGGGCTGAGGGAACTAATAAGTTTCTGACAGAGAATTTGAACTCAGGTCTTCCTGATTCCAAGGGCATTTCTCCAGTCACTAGGTAACCTAGTCAAAGGAGAAAAGAAGGTTCTCCCCAGGAGGCAGAGCAGTCCAGTGGGTTGAGCGCTGGACCTGGACTCTGGAAGACCTGGGTTTGTGTCCAGCTTTGGACCTTTACCAGCTAACTGCTGCTCATTGGCGAGCACTTCCTGTGCCAATGAATCTAAACGAGGGCTTCTCAATCTTTTCTGTGTCCTACGCCCCTTTTGCAGCCTGCTGAATTCCCTGAGACCCTTTTCCAAAAAAGGTTTCTAAGTGCATAAAATAAAATACATAGGATTACAAAGGAGACCAAAGCTGAATGCAATAAAGATTGATATAGCTATAGAGACAGATATGCAGATGTTCCTGTCCAAGTTCACAGACCAATCGGGGGCCTGTGGACGCCTGACCTACAGGATCATAGATCTAGACCTGGATGTGACCTCAGTGACCACCTTGTCCACCCCTTCATTTTATGGAGGAGAAAACTGAGGCTGACAGAGGGGAAGGCTTTACCCAAGGCCACATGCTAATTGCTGACATTTATAAAGCCTGCTCAGGTTTGCAAAGGGCTTTCCACACGTTTCAACCCCCTTGACACCATCCCTCTACTCCTTCTTCCTTTCCCACAGTCCCTGACAATGAGGTGGCCCTTGGTCTGGTCCTTCCTGACCTCCAGCAGACAGCAACCTCAGTCACCCCTTCTCTTTAACCTCCAACCTCTTTTGTCTGCAATCCTATGACTCTGGCCTCCTTCCTGCTCTTGCAAGATGCTCCACATTCTACTCTGGGCATTTTTACTGCTTGTCAATCAATCAACACTTATTAAGTGCCTACTATGTGCCGGGCATGGAGCTGAGTGCTGGGGATACAAAAAGAGGTACAAGATAGCTTTTGCCCCACAGGGGGCTTACAATCTAATGGTGTCTCCACGGCTGGAATTCTCTCTCTCCCCATCTGCACCTCCTGGCTTTTTTCAAGTCCCATCTAAAATCTCCCCTGCTCCCACAAGTCTTTCCTGATCGCAGCCCATATGAGGACCTTCTTTCTTCCTCCTATCTATGCCATGTCATACAGAGCTGCTTGCATGTTGTCTCTCCTGTAGGGCAGTGACCTCCTTGGGATCAGAGACCATCTTTCAATTTCCTTTGTGTATCCATCACTTGGCACAGTGGCCAACCACAGCCCCCAGCCCAAGCCTCTGAGGCTCCTGGTTTGGGTTCTGGTGGCTTAGAACGAGTGTAAATAGCAATTGTTTTCTGTTTCGGCCAGAAACCTTGAGGGTCTTTCCCTCCAGATTGATGTTTTGGGATGGTAAATTAAGCCCTCTTTTCTCGCACTTCTTACCCAGCCCTCAGTCATTGAAAGGGCATTGCCCCAGACAACCTGAGGCCTGGGAAAGCCCTGAATGTAAAAAGGCCAAGGTCACCGGCTGCATCCCGGGCCGTCACTAGACGTCTCGACTTTTGCCTTGCCACTGGATGTCTCTGCTCTGCAGGCGAGAGTGAGGCTGATGACTTCGTGCAGCTCTGCCCCACTTCAATCCAATGTGTGCACAAGTCAAGACATCACCCTCATGACGTCGTCTTTGAGAACCAAGGAGGAACAACAATATTTACTAGCTGTGTGACCCTCTGCAAGTCACTGAGCCTCTCTGTGCCTCAGTTTCCTCATCTGTAAAATGAGGAGGTTGGACTGAATGATTTTTAATGTCTCTTCCAGCCCTTTTGAGATCATTCCATTTCTTGAGAGCCATCCATGGCTCCCCATTGCCTAAAGGATGACATGCAAATTCCTCTCCCTGCCATTCAGAACCTGAAAGCTGGTCCCAACCTCCCTTTCCAAACTTTTCCAGGAACTCTCACCAACATCCCCCATGATCAGCACTTGACTTTCTCTCTCTCTTCCCTCTCCCTCTCCCTCTCTCCCTCTCTCTTCTCTCTCTCTCTCTCCTCCCCCCTCTCCCTCCCTCTCCCTCCCTCTCTCCTCTCCCCCCTCCCTCTCTCCTCTTCCCTCCCCCTCCCCTCCTTCTCCTCTCCCTCTCTCTTCTCTCTCTCTCTTCTCTCTCTCCTCTTCTCCTCTCTCCCCCTCCCCTCCCTCTCTCCCTCCTCTCCCTCTCTCCTCTCTCTCTCCCTCTCTCCCCTCTCTCTCTCTCTTCTCTCGATCCTCTCTCTCTCTCTCTCTCTCCTCTCTCTCTCCCCTCCCCCTCCCTCTCTCCCCTTTCTCTCCCTCCCTCCTCCCCCCTCCTCTCTCTCCTCTCCTCCCCTCTCTCTCTCTCTCTCCCCCCGCACTCCCCCTCTCTCCTCTCTCTCCCCTCTCTCTCTCTCTCTCTCTCTCTCTCTCTCTCTCTCTCTCTCCCTCCCCCTCCCCCCCCCCTCTCCCTCCCTCTCCCTCCTCTCCCTCTCTCTCTCTCCCTCTCTCCCTCTCCCTCCCCCCCTCCCCTCCCCCTCCCCTCCCCTCTCCCTCTCCCTCCCTCTCTCCTCTCTCTCCCTCTCTCCTCTCTCTCTCTCTCTCTCTCTCTTCTCTCTCTCTCTCTCTCTCTCTCTCCCTCCCCCTCCCCCTCCCCCCTCTCCCTCTCCCTCCCCTCTCCCTCCCTCTCTCCCTCTCTCTCCCTCTCTCTCTCTCCCTCTCTCCCTCTCCCTCCCCCTCCCCCTCCCCCTCCCCCCCTCCCCCCTCTCCCTCTCCCTCCCTCTCTCCCTCTCTCTCCCTCTCTCTCTCTCTCTCTCTCTCTCTCTCTCTCTCTCTCTCTCTCTCTCTCTCTCTCTCTCTCCCTCCCTCCCTCTCGACCCTCTCCCCCCCTCCCTCTCTCTCTCTCCCTACCATTGAGGGTAGAAGGAGAGGTATCACTAAAATGATTTTTTACCCAGGACAAAAACAGTAGAATGAAGATAGGGGTGACTTTCCCAAGGCACACATCTCCCCAAGGTGACTACTGTCATTTGAACCCTTGTCTGATTCCAAACTCATTTCCTTTCTGTTATACCTTATTTTACAGAGAGCTGAAGTCAGAACTGTAACATTAAAATTCACATAAATATTCAAATCTAAATTAAACTGTCTCAAGTGACATGTAGGGCTTGCAAGGACTTGAAGAGATATCCCCATCAACTTGACAAACCAGGAAACAGAGACATCTGGGTAATAGCAAAGCATGAATCATATTTCTATCACTCTTTAAAACTGACTTAATATTTTTCCCACAACAACCCTGGGAAAGAAAGCACTTCTAGCATCATTATCCCCTTTTTGCAGATGAAGAAACTGAGAAAGTAAGAGATTGGCCCAAAATGGTCCCGTCTCAGCAAAACTAGAATTGTAACCCTGTTCTGATCTCTTGAGTCCAAATTCAGAGTCTAAGGGAAATGTGAGCTTTAAATTTCCAAGTGACAAGCTTACAGAGAAATCAAGGAAACTTTACCTCATGTCTGCAGGGCAAAAACAGCCTTGATCAGATCTGACTGGAGAATTCCCCTCCGCCTGGAGTTACGACTTCGGTGAGATCTGTCTCTCAGCCTCCTGGCTCTTGAATTTAAAGAGTCGATATTATGTAACAGAGATACTTTGGTTTCCTTGTCTCCACCAAAGGAAAGGGAAACAGAAAAGTGAAACTAACTGCATTCAGTTCCAATCGGGAAAAGGAAACTGAAACCAGCCACTAATTGAAACGGTTCCTCCAGCCCAGCTGCTGGGGCTCTGCTCTCCCCAGCCCCCACTGCTGACTTTGATCATCATTATTCTTTAGCAATGCACACACGCCCTCTCCACATTAGTATACACACGTGCACACATGCAAACCACCACCACTAATACACACAGGCACAAATGATGCTGAAAAAAAGGGCAAGTGTATCTTTCTAGGAGGCTTCAGAGCTACTAAAAGAAAGACAGAAAAAAGGAGCGGGATTAAATGCAGAACTACCCTCCCTACTTAGGAACACAGCCAAAGACAGCTTTTCTCTTTGTAGTGACTCTTTATGATCACAATGTCCTTGTAGCCTCCAAATGGAAAGGCTGGCCGGCTGGCCATTCACTCTCACTCCCTGCACTGTCTCCGTTACCCGACCTTCCCTCAGTCTGGGGCTCCGCGTCTCGAAGAAGTGACACCAACATGCAGAAGCAAACCAAGGGTCCTCGGCTAATCCTCTTATTGGAGCATACTCCTGCTCCTGGCTTCTGCCAGGGTGCTTCCACTTACCCATAATCAATCACCAGGCACCGTCAGCTCTTCAGCATAAAGAAATTTAATTAAATATTGGTTTCAAACACTCTTAGTTAAACATTAAAAGAATTAACACTAAAAAGATAAATATACATTTAGTTACGTTAAAAGTAAACATTAAAAGTTAGAATAAACATAACATCACAATTATCCAACATAACACAAACTCGGTAATAAATCAAATAGCACCTCAGACACTTGACACTACCTGTGTGACCTTGGGCAAGTCACTTAACCCTGATTGCCTCACCAAGAAATGAAATGAAATAAAATAAAATAAATCAAATATCACAGGCTGCATGTAACCTTGGGTCACATTCTCCTAAGGATTATAGGGCTCCCAGAAGAACCCATTAAAAAATCTGAACCCATGGAGCAGCTAGGTGGCGCAGTGGATACAGTACTGGTCCTGGAATCAGGAGTACCTGACTTCCAATCTGGCCTCAGACCAAACACTTCACACTTACTAGCTGTGTGATCCTGGGCAAGTCACTTAGCCCCAACTGTCTAAAAAAAAATCTGAACCCTGTAATACAAGAACTATTACAAGAAAACTGCCCAGATTCCCTGAATAAAGTGCCAGTCAAGACAACCCACAGATTATCTCCAGAAAGAAGCCTATGCTGCCAACTCTAAGATACACAGTCTTTCAGTTTAACGATTCCAATGACAAGCCACAAATCCCACAAGCAATCAGAAGAAAGACCTTCATACATAAAGGAAAGGGCATGGAATAGAATGATGTGATTCAAAAAGAAAAGGAACTCAAGATGCAACCCAAGGTAACATACCCTGCAAACCTAAACCTGTTAATGAAAAAAAATGGATATTCAACAAAAAGAGGTATTTTAAGTATTCCTACAAAGAAAACCAGACCTAAATAATTTGCTTTTCAAATAACATAAACAACAGAAATAACATGAAATACAGAAACCAAGGACAATAACAATAAGAGAACAAGAGAAAAACCATTAAGATATCTCTTTCTAAAAGTACAAAAAGACCAGGGAAATGGACCAGGGAAAATTTAAAACTCTCTCTCTCTCTCTCTCTCTCTCTCTCTCTCTCTCTCTCTCTCTCTCTCTCTCTCTCTCTCTCTCTCTCTCTCTCTCTCTCCCTGGAAATATATTAAATTCAACAGGGAAATAGGTAGAGACATGGAAAAGGGAAAAAGAGATTTAAGGGGAAAGGGAGTTTTGGTGAGGGAGTAGTCATAAGCAACACAAACTTTGGTGCTGAAAGAAAAGAGAAAAAATTATTGGGGCTGGGGAAAAGGGAGGAGGAGGAACAGAATCAGATTGCATCATTTATAGTTTACAAACTGCTTTTTCACCACCTAATTTTTTTTTAATAAAGAGAGGGGAAAGAGAGAAAAAGGTACAAAGGACAGGATGGTGGTAAATGCATAATTAACAACCATAACCATACACATGAATGGTATGAACTCACCCACAAAATTGAAGAGAGCAGCAGAGTGGATTTGAAAACAGACTCCAACAATATGTTGTGTTGTTGTTGTTGTTGTTGTTGTTGTGTCATCTCAGGGGTATCTGACTCACGTTTGGAGTTTTCTTAGCAAAGATCCTGGAGTGTTTTGCTATTTTCTCCTCCATCTAATTTCACAGACGAGGAACTGAGGCAAACAAGGTTAAGTGACTTGCCCAGAGTCACACAGATAGTAAGTTTTGGAGGCTGGATCTCAACTCGGGAGGATGAGTCTTCCTGATTCCAAGACCAGTGTGCCACCTAGCTGCCCTCAACATGTTGTTTACAAAAAACATATTTGAAATCTAAATAGTCATACAGAGTTAAAACAACAAGATTGAAGGAGAATCCATTATGTTCAGGTTAACTCAAAAAAGCAAGGGTAGCAATCACGATTTCAACAAAGTTACAATAATAACATACATAATAAAAACCACTACCATTTAACACAGTGCTAAAAATATTAGTGATAGCAATAAGACAAAGAAAAAGAAATTGAGGAAATAAAAAAGTAAAAAGGAAACAAAATCATTTCTTTTGCAGATGATACGGACTACCTAGAGACCACTGAAGAGTCAACTAAAAATGAATTCAAACAATTCATGAATTCAACAGTTGTAGAATATAAAATAAATCTACATAAATCATCAGCATGTATGTATAGCACCAAGAAAACCAAGCAGGATACAGAAAAAGAAATTTCATTCACAATACCTATAGAATACATAATTACTTAGAAGGCTATCTGGATCCACATGGGAACTACATGAATACAGAAAATGAGAGCCCCAAATAGTTGGGAAAACATTGATTGCTCATAGGTAAATTATGCCAACATAGTAAAAATTATAAAACTATCCAAATTATTTTGTGTATTTGGTACCTTAGCAGACTATCAAAGGATTTTTAATAGAGCTAGAAAGAAATAATGACAAAATTTATCTGTAGAAAGAAAGGTCTCAAGGGGAATAATGAAAAAAAGTGGGAAGGAAAGGAGCCCAGGAGCAGCTAGGTAGCACAGTGGGTAGAGCTCTGGCCTTGGAGTCAGGAGGACCTGAGATCAAATTCTACGTCAGACACATGACACTAGCTGTGTGACCCTGGGCAAGTCACTTAACCCCAATTGCCTCACCAAAGGAAAAAAAAAAGAACACGGAAAGGAGCCCAGCATTACCAAATTTCAAGCCACAAAGTAATGACTATCAAAATTATTTAGTTCTGATTAAAAAATAGAGTTCAATCAATGGGAAAGATTAGACACAGAATATATAGAAGCAAATAAGTTCAGTAGGATAGTATTCAGTATTCAAGCTCAGTGTGTTCAACAATTCTAGCTATTTGGGTAGTGGACCAACAGCTTCTGGGAAAATTGGAAAGCAGCCCGGCAAAAACTAGGTTTCAATCCAAATGTCACACTCCATGCCAAGATAAGCACCAAATGTACACATGACTTGGACAAAAAAGGGTAACATCATAAATTAGAGAAACAAGAAAGAAATTGAGGAACAGGTCATAACCAAACAAGGAACAGGGAGGACCACAGAAAGTAAAATGCACAATTTAGATTACATAAAATTCAAAAGGTTTTGCACAAACAAACACATTAGAGTTTGGGGATGTCATGGAATATAGCCCTAGTTTCCAGACAAGCTTAGAACATTTTGCATGAGACTCTCCTAATTGGTGGAAAGAATGTTATCATGATGCTGCATATGCAAATGAGGTGCAGAGTTGGTGAAAGAACGTTGAAGAGAATTCTTATTTTAAATTCTTATTTTGAGATTCTTTTCAGTACAGATTCCAACAAGGATAAAGAGAAAGTCTTTCTTATATATACAAGTAGGGAAAGCTGACCCCTCAATGTGTTCTTGATTTCCAGCTTGCTTTCCTGGAGATTTCAGGGAATTTCCCCTTGAACAAGATGAGGGCCAGCTCTCATTTGAGTGAGACCTCACCTTTCTTCCATCTAAGGAGTTCATTCACTGTGATGTATTTTCTGGTATATTCCAGTCTATGGAACTTCTCTGATTTCTCACCTGGCTGAACTCCAAAACTGTATTTAAGGAAGGAGCTAGGTGTAGAACATTTCCTCATTTACCTGGCTGCACTACTTTAGGACTTCTAACTTTTCCACTATGCCCCCACATCAGGTACCTTCCTTAGTGTGCTCCCACCTCACTTTTCAACTCCTTTTGTGACTTGTCTTTCCCCATCAGAGTGTAAGCTTCTTGAAGGCAGGGATCATTTTTCTTTTTAAAAAATAAAAAATTGTACCCTCAGTATTTAGTATAGTACCTGGAACATAATGGGCATTTAATAAATGTTTATTGATAACTGATTTTTTATTTGCTATGTGCTTGGATAAATAGGTTATCTGTTAACCCCTCTCACAGGAGAAGAGAGTTTCATCCATTTCCCCCTCACCTTTATTTAGCCCTCCCCCACCTGGGGAAAGGAAGGAGGGGGAGGGGCAGCAGCTACAGCATGGGCCCCCCTGGGCAGCCTTTGCCTGGAAGTATCACCCAGGTTCAGCACATCCTGCTCAAGGTAAAGAAGCTGGCCTCTGAACTTTGGGTAAGCACACTCTTTTAAAGTTGTAGTTTTAACTGTTAATGATGAGATGTTGATTCTCTGTGTAGAGTAATCTGGAAATGCATTTAACAAAACTGAAGCCACCTGATGGTAATGGGTTTGTTTCAAGTTTAAAATCGGTAAACTTTCTGTATTGTTCTTTTTGTATTTGGTTACCGTGAAAATAATTTGGCTATTGTTGGTTATTGTTTTAATGTGTAAACTTGCCAAAAAGCTTGTTTGGGTTATGTAGGGCTTGCTGAGAATGCGCAAGTATATAGAAATAATCTCTAACGATTGGCTTTTTACACCAGGACA